GTCTCCAGCCCAAGACATTTCTTCACGTGGTCATGGTTACCCAGCTGTATGTCTGTATGCCACAGCTCGACATTAGCCAGGGGTGGCCACAATAGAGTTTAAACCATAAAGGCTTCCTGCCTGACCCTGCAGATGAGCCAGTGGTGGGCGTTGAGGGATATTTTGATTGTACTCTGCCCCTCCAGACACTGCCCACTAAGGGTATACCTTGAACCTGGGGCAGAGCCAGCGACTAGCTGACCGGAAATGACCATAGAGAAGTCAGCCAGAAGCCTAATAAGTCGGACACACAGAATAAGACAGGTAAAAGCCACGTGGTAGAACGTTAATTAATACAAATATGGGTTACAGTACTCGGGAGGCAGAGGCAGGCGGATCTCTGTGAGTTCGAGGCCAGGCTGGACTGACAGCCTCCAAAACAATCAGAGAAACCCTGTCTCGTAAAACCAAATATATATATATATATATATACACATGGGTTAATTTAAATTATAAGAGCTAGTAAGGGCCGGGTGTTGGTGGCGCGCGCCTTTAATCCCAGCACTCGGGAGGCAGAGGCAGGCGGATCGCTGTGAGTTCGAGGTCAGCCTGGTCTACAAAGTTAGTTCCAGGACAGCCTCCAAAGCCACAGAGAAATCCTGTCTCGAAAAAACAAAAAACAAAAAACAAAAACAAACAAACAAAAAAAAAGAGCTAGTAAGGAACAAGCCTAAGCTACAGGCGGAGCTTTCATAATTGGTAAGTGTAAGCATTTCGATGGATCAGATGGGAAGGACAGGGATGGATTCTGGCATTTGGGAGCCAAAGAATACTAAGTGTTACAGCTTGGATGGAGAGGTATCCTGGCACTGGGGGGATCACAGAATATTGAGTGTTACAGCTCAGATGGGAAGGTATTCTGGCAAGTGGGAGCCAAGGAGCATAGCAGCTTACAGCCCTGCTGCAGGGAGAGGTTACCCCAGCCCTGCTCTGGCAGAAGACGTCCGTGTCCCGTGTTGTGGTGTGTCCGTTCTCACCCCCATTCCCCTGCCCCCCGCCCCCTACTCTGCTCTGCTCTGGGTCATCTCTGCCCCTGCAAAAGAAAGCCTCACCCGAACCTCATTCAAGAAATTTATTGAGAGGGAAGAATCCAGGAGAGTGGCTGCCCTCTGCCATGGTGGCAGAGGACAGCTGGCTAGTCCAAACAGCCACAAACTGAACAGACACAGGGTTTATATAGGGATTCTTAGGGGGTGGCATTTTTTCAGGGTGGAATTGGTCAGATCTCAATCCCTGAGCTTAGGATGGCTAGATCTCCTGTTCAGGGATTGGTTAGTTTTCTGCACAGGTTTAGGGTCAGATTTGGCTCTGGTTTCAGGGCCAAAGTGTGTTTCTTTCTCTGATCCTTTTTAGCCTTTTGGTTTGAATTTTAGGGCCAGGGTGCATTTCTTTCACTGGCTCTGATTCCAGGGATGAAGTGTGTTTCTTTGGCACTGGTTTCAGGGTCAGGGTACATTTCTTTGGTTCTGGTTGCAGGGCCAAAGTGTGTTTGTTTCTTTGGCTCTGCTCACGGTGTTTCTTTGGCTGGCCCCTTTTCCCTACAGTAAGTCTCCGTGTTGTTATTTGGTGCTGCTGGTACAAAGACTTGCTACTCATTGTTGAACTTACGTATGAATGGTGCATTTAGATATGGCTAGCTGACCACTCAGGTTTCTCTGTGCAGTCCTCCTGATTACAAGGTCTGCCCCAGAATGAGGGAAAGGGCAGCCCTCTCTGTTCCCTTCCCTCATTCTGGGAGGAGGCTAGATGGCAAGCCCTCGTGTCCCCAAATATGAGTTATTTTCAGGTCAACTTTGAGAGCTCTTGTATTCACAAATACCTTACTATTGTATTTTTTTTCCTTTGTTGTTTTTTCTTTTGGTTTTTTGAGACAAGGTCTCTCTGTGTATCCATGGCTGTCCTGGAACTCACTCTGTAGACCAGGCTGTCCTGGAACTCACAGAGATCCACCTGCCTCTGCCTGCTGAGTGCTGGAATTAAAGGTGTGTGACACCATCCTCCAACTGATAATTGTATTTCAATCACTTCATTTGATTTTTTTTTTTTTTGGTTTTTACGAGACAGGGTTTCTCTGTATTATTGTTTTAGAGGCTGTCGGTCCAGCCTGGCCTAGAACTCACAGAGATCCGCCTGCCTCTGCCTCCCGAGTGCTGGGATTAAAGGCGTGCACCACCACCGCCCGGCTTCATTTGATTTTTTAAATTATTTAATAATGCCACATACCTTATAAGATTGTAAGTTCTTATCCACCATGTGGTAAAAGCAGGTACCATTAGTGATAAAATGAGCCACTGGCCCCAAGTACTCCAGGTTCGGTAGCAGAGATCTGCTCCACCCTGGGGCAGCCAGGCTGCCTTCTGTGAAGCCTGGCATGGAAGCGCTGCATCCCCAGCCTCCTGGGGTAGTGCTTTGGTAGGGTTTCCCCAACCTGGGGACTCCCACCGCTAGGTTTCAATTCCCAAAAACCCAGACCTTTAAAAAGACCTGTGACATGTGCTGATTGAATCAAGAAGTGACGTGGCCGAGTTCCAGTAAAATCTGAGTCAAAGAACTCTGTAATCGACCAAAAAAAAAAAAAAAATCACCTGTCATGATATAGTGTATTTTTAGGTTTTTCTTCCCCTAACCACTTAAAAATCCCAAGACCATTCTTAGGTCAGAGGTTGACCAGCGGTGTTTCCCCAGCCTATCAACACATGACCCAGCCTCTCCCACTCCGGGGGCTTGCACAATGATGTTTTTGCATTGACTCCCATGACCCACACAGAGTTATTCTCATTTCATATTATTGAAGCCAAGGAGATAGCATCACATATATTTATTTATTTTGTTTTTCGAGACAGGGTTTCTCTATATTGTTTTGGAGGCTGTCATGAAATTCGCTCTGTAGACCAGGATAGTCTTGAACTCACAGAGATCCGCGTCCCTCTGCCTCCAGAGTGCTGGGATTAAAGGCGTGCACCAACGCCCGGCCTGGCATCACATTTAATTTCTTCCTGAATTTTTTTTTTGGGGGGGTTTTTTGAGACAGGGTTTCTCTGTGGCTTTGGAGGCTATCCTGGAACTCGCTTGGTAGTCCAGGCTGGTCTCGAACTCACAGAGATCCGCCTGCCTCTGCCTCCCGAGTGCTGGGATTAAAGGCGTGCGCCACCAACGCCCGGCTAATTTCTTCCTGAATTGAACCAACCCTGAACCCTTTCAACACCTGATCCAGAGGCTCCAGTTTAACTGGTCAATGTGGACAGGTTGTAGCCATTTGAAGTTCCCTCATGACATGGTCCTTATAAAATCAGACTAGCTCCAGGTGTTGGTGGCAAATGCCTTTAATCCCAGCACTCGGGAGGCAGAAGCAGGCGGATCTCTGTGAGTTCGAGGGCAGCCTGGTCTACAGAGCGAGTGCCAGGACAGCCTCCAAAGCTACACAGAGAAACCCTGTCTCGAAAAACCAAAAACAAACAAAAATCAGTCTAGCAGCTGGGCGTTGGTGGCGCACGCCTTTAATCCCAGCACTCGGGAGGCAGAGGCAGGCGGATCTCTGTGAGTTTGAGGCCAGCCTGGTCTACAAAGTGAGTTCCAGGACAGCCTCCAAAGCCACAGAGAAAGCCTGTCTCGAAAAACAAAAAAAGACAAACCAAAAACAAAAATCAGTCTAGCAGAACTCAGCAAACATGCAGACATAACAGGGTGGTGGGGCCACCACCCACTCAAGTCTGCTGGGGTCTGAGCAAACACTGGTAGTTTTACTATAGTCTAGCTCAGGGCCAAATTGGCCATCTATAATGGTGTCCATGTCCGTGTATGTGTGTGTGTGTTTGGTATTTTGCCTGTATGTCTGTGTGAGAGTGTTGGATTCTGGAGTTACAGAATGAGAGCTATGTGGTGCTGGAATTGAACCTGGGTCCTCTGAAGAACAGTCAGTGCTGTAAACCACTGAGCCATCTATCTCAGCGCCCAAACTACAGCTTTTTTAAATCCGACCTTTCCCTTTGCCTGCACTCAACAAGTTTTTCCTGCGCTCAACAAGGCCAGGGTCTGGCATCTCAGGCACTGCTCTATTCAGTGTGTCAGTAGCAATGAAACCTGGTCTACTCATTGTTCCCTCAGTAGCTGATTTCCTGACAGTGATGCTTGTGTGAAATAGCCCTCTATGCACACCTATGGGAACACCACAGATTGACCCCAGGGTCTATGCACACCTATGGGTACACCAGATTGACCCTTGGGGGTCTACACACACCTCTGGGTACACCACAGATTGACCCTTGGGGGTCTATGCACGCCTATGGGTACACCAGATTGACCCTTGGGGGTCTATGCACGCCTATGGGTACACCAGATTGACCCTGGGGGTCTATGCACACCTATGGGTGGGTACACCACAGGGCTTCCTGTCCTCCATCCAAATACTTATAAGTAGTTTTGGCCTCAAATGTGTCTGTGTACTTGTACCCAAAAAGGCCAAAAGAGGGTATTGGGTTCCCCAGAACAAGTTTTAAATGGCTGTAAGTCAATTGAACCCAAGTCCTCTGGAAGAGCAGCTACAACTCTGAACCACTGAGCCAGCCCCCTTCAGTCGGGTAGGACAGGTAGGACACAGGGATGTCAGAAGACGGTTATCATGCTCTAGAACTGCAGTTACAGCTGTCAGCTGCATACCCTTGACTGCGGCACCATCAACCAAGAGCAGACCCTTCGGCTCTCAGGGTAGTTCCTGTCTCTCCTTTCCCACATAGCTGAGGTGACCACCACTCCAGCCCGCTTCACTGACTCAACCAAGTGCAAGTCCCAAATGGCCACTCAAAGCATAGCCAGGGATGAGGGGCAACAATCAAGGCACTCAAGAGGATACCTGGGCCCTTACCTCAAACCACAAGTGCCCAAGTGACCTTGGTCCACCTGGACTGAGCTTGTCACCTGTCAGTTTCTTTAACACAGAAATGGAAAAAAACAGGCTAAGACGATTCAGAAAAAACTAAATTTATTTGTCTTTTTTGGAAACTGGGTCTCTTGTAGCCCAGGATGGCCTTGAATTCATGATTGTCTTGCCTCTGCCTCCTGAGAGCTTGGATATAGCAAGCAGGTCTGCTTTCTTCCAGCCAGCTCCAATATCGTCACTGAGACAGCGCTTGTCTCCCACACACAGCATGGTCCTGAAGCACAGCAACTTGGGCCAAGAACCGGAAACTGCTGACCCCTTAGAGGGGTGGCAAACAGCAGGCTTCACATCAGGCCTGGCTTTCTGTTTCCTCATCTGCAGAGATCAGAAATGCCATATGGTTAAAATCAGGAAACACCACGAACCCAATGGCTGCTACAAATGCCTACTGCCATCAGGGACAATAGCAAAGCCTAAGCCAAGTTTCTGATTGCACCCAGTGAGCCAAAAGGCCTGTGCCCACACCCATCCCAGCTAGACATATGACGGCATGTATACCATGCTGAACTCCAACCACAGACAATCAATGCCATCTCCAAGTATCAGGGCCCGAGAAGCCCAGATACTGCAAGTTTTGAAATAGTCTTGTAAACTGAGTCAATCACATGACTTATGGACAGGCCACTGGTTTTTCTTTTGGTTGTTGTTGCTTGTTTTTGTTTCTGTTCTGTAACTCTCTGTAGACCAAGCTGTCTTCAGACTCCTAGAGATTCACCTGCCTCAGTCTCCAAAGTGCTTGGATTAATGGCACGAACTACCTTGTTGGCTACTGTTTTAAATACCTGGTGGCTAACAGACAACTACCACAAACAAAAGTGAAGCCCATAATTCAAACTCTTAGGAGGTGGAAGCATGAGACCAGTTCAAAGCCATCCTTGGCTATACAGACTTTGAGGTCTGCCTAACTTACGGGAGACACTTTCTCAAACTGGAACAAAACCCCAGAAGTGACCCAAAGCATCTTCTTGCATGCTCACCCCTCAGAAGATCCGTGAGTCAGCCTGGTAACCACTGATGTCACTTCAGGTCTCCCCCAGCTCTAGCACCTTGGGTTTCCTAGACTGAAGGAAGAGTCAGTGAGCTGCAAAGTGTCAACAGTAAGCTGGGGACCGCCTACATCATTCACCCCACAGCTCCCACACCCAGAAAATGACAAACCCTTCCACCCAAGCTTCCCCTCCTCCCTGAAAAGCTGTAGGGCTAGGGATACCAGCTATCAAATTTCAACCTGACAGTTCCTGCTGGAAAACCCCTGGACATACCTAACCAGAGTGGGAGAAAACCAACTCCCAAAGTTGCTTTCTGACTTCCATGTGCTGCGCCACCCATGTCCCACACACATAAAGTAAATAGAATCTAAGATTTTGGGTCAGCAGTGGTGGAGCACGCCTTTAATCCCAGCACTTGCAGGCAGAGGTAGGTGGATCTGTGAGCCTGAGGCTAGCCTGGTCTAGGCAGCTAGTTCTAGAACAGCAAAGGCTACACAAAGAAACCCTGTCAGCTGGGCGTTGGTGGTGCACATGTTTATTGAAGCACTGGGGAGGCAGAGGCAGGCGGATCTGACTTTGAGACCAGCCTGGTCTACAAGAGCTAGTTCCAGGACAGCCTCCAAAGCCAGAGAAACCCTGTCTGGGGGAGGGGGAACAAATTTGGAGTGGGGGCCTGGTATAGTGGCACACACCTTTAATCCCATCATCGGTAGACTTATCTCTGCATTCAGGACAATCCAGTGAAACCCCTGGCATGAAATGCACCAAGACAAGCATGAAGACACATTTGTGACCCCAAAACTTTGACCCGCCAAGGCAGGAGGACTGGGAATTCAAGGTCATTGTCACCTACATTTCAGGCCAGGTTAACCCACACAACGAGACCGTAAGTACTGGCACACCGGCAGGCCCCCACCTGCAGGCACTCAGTCCCTTCTAAGGTCTAGCCCCAGGACGGCATGCTGCCTCCCCAGACCCGGAAGCCACCAAATCATGTGCTTCCTCATCTGGAGTCTTTCCTGAGTCCTGGGGACCAAACTCCGGTTCTCAAGCCATGTACTTTGTGATTGTTTTAAGGATTTAATGGTTTGTACTAACTCTGGATCACAGAAGAACAGCCGATGACTTATTTGCCTCTACACAACTGGGCAAAACTTTTTCACCAGTTTAAAAAAGAAGGAAGTGCAGCATTTGTAAACTCTATTCACTTGAAATTTACCGTGGCAGGTGTCCGCTACATTGTCTGAAATTTCTATAACCTTGCTCTGGAGAGGGCAGGGCAAGGCCTCAAACCACTTCAAAGCTGCTCTGGCAAGCACTGTAGGAATGCACAGGGTCACCGCAGACCCAAGCACGCTGGAGGCTTGCTGAGGGCACCACTGAAACCTGCACGACCCAGACAGCCTCCGGTCCCCCCGGCCAACCCAAGTCCCCCAACGCTGGAGAATTGGTCCCGAAGGTGACTTAGACACACCAAGTTTAGCTCCAGAGGCCCCAGATGACCTCTCTTTTGCCTGAGGGAGGGAGTAAGGCTCTCCTGAAGCGGCTTTAAAAGATTAGACAATCTAAGCTGCTACATTAGTCTATGTGAAGTGTCTTTTAAACTCTCGTGACCACAGAAATAACATTAATACACACCTAAAGAAATGGCCTCTTCTTCCTCAGTCTTCTCAGGACGTATTTCCGAGGCTGGAGAAAAACCCGACACATTAATTCGACCACGGTTCAGAGAAATGAGGGCCCAGTTCCAGACAGGCAGAGCCCGGCTTTCACAACTGACTTACCAGGACATCTTGCAGGCGGCCGGTCAGCCCTCCCACGCTGCGGGTCGTCCGTCCACCTGGCCTCGATTTCCACCTACAAGGGGACAAGGCACATCGAGCCCCGGCCGGTGCTCTCCCGAGGGGAGAGCCTCCTTCGCGCGCAGGGGTCGCTGGTTTGCGACCAGGCCGGCCCAGGTTACCCCGAGGCACGTGTCTCCCCGCAGGAAGCCATGCCTACTCCACCGCAGCCTGGCCTCCTGCCTGCCGCCACCGCGCCCCGCGATCCCTACCTGGCCCCAGAGCAGCCCGGCATGACTCCTGGTCTCCGATGGCCGTAGATGCAGAAAAGGGGAGGAACGCGGCACAGGTGACCCAGGACGACACCGCCATGGCTGCCGGCAGCGCGCGCGCACGCGTATTTAGCGTCATTGGCAGAACACGGAGCCACGCTCGTGCCTAACGTCATCACGCAGCCCCTCCCCGAAGCCCGCGCGCGCGGGCTCCAGGACGGTGACGTCACGGTCCCGGGGCGTGGCCTTGGGCGCGGGCTTTGAGCGTTGAGCCCGCCCGGGTGGTGGCGGGCCGTCCCAGGCGGTCCCCAGCATCTGGTGACCGCCCTCCATGTCTTCTCAGCCAGGGGGGCTGGAGTGACACACCCAGGCGGCCCGGGCTGTCCCACAGGGGCATGTGCCCGGCTGGGCCACATGTGGACGTGGGGGGGCAAGAAAGAAAACCCTTCCAGAGTTTCATTTCCTCTCCTTTTAAAATATATGCCTGCCTCTTTTTTATTCTTCTAACATGACTACTTCATGCATTTATTTGAATGAAAAAATGAAAAGGCTTAAGGATTCAGGCATCATGCGGGCCTGCCCCTGTCACCTGGCAGAATGCACTCAGGCAGTACCCTGGTCAGCCCAGGGTTCCATCCATGAGCACTAGTCTGCACGCAGGTGCAAAGGACCGCTTTAAAAGACAGGACCCCCGCCCACCCACTTAAGCTGTCTTTCCAGATCCATCTTCCCACTGTTCCCCTGGGGCAGACAGGACTTTTCCTGTCTCCCTCTTCTCTTCTTCTTCTTCTTCTTTTTTTTTTTTTTTTTTTGGTTTTTCGAGACAGGGTTTCTCTGTATTATTTTGGAGCCTGTCCTGGACCTCGATCTGTAGATCAGGCTGGCCTCGAACTCACAGAGATCCACCTGCCTCTGCCTCCCGAGTGCTGGGATTAAAGGTGTGCGCCACCAACGCCCGGCTTCTCCCTCTTCTCTTCTGTCCTCTCTCTGTGTCTCTTTACCTCTTTTCTCTTTCCTTCCCTTTCCCTTCCATTTCTAATAAAACTTCTCACTTAAGCTCTGTCTGCCTGGCATGTTTGTGCCCCGCCTCGGTCACTCTGTGCTGCCATGGAATCTGCCATGGTCCCCCACGAAAGGTCCCCCTCCCAGGTTTAGCCTAACAAAAGGAAAGGACGGAAAGGAGTAAACTAAACTCAAAGGCTTCACTTCTAATAATTTATAAATGAAGGGACCAGACCCTCACTCAGCCCCCTGCTTTAGCAGCCATGACAGGCTACAGAAAAGACACACAGGCCTCTGACACAAGGAAACTCCAGGGCCTCTGGCCTCCCGGAGACTAGGGCCAAAACTGACCATGAAGAAACTCCAGACCACCCACCCCCAGCCTCCTAGATGCTGGGTTCCTAGGAACTGTTTGTCCACAAAAGAAACTCCAGGGGGGACCAAAACCTCCCCTGTAGTCTCCAGGATATAGTTCTGAAAACTATTGGTGTCTATGTACAACAGGTCACCTGCAAGTAACAAGACAATACCATAGAAACCACAGCATGTTCCCTCCCAGCACTGACCAATGAAAATAATTGGTACACAGGTATGTCATGCCAAAATATGACTTTGAGAAATTCTCCTGATTGTTCCCAAATGTCACCAATCAGAAAGCAACCCATACCTACTGATGTAATCCTGTGATTTTTGTCTTTAAAACCTAACAGTTGACAGGGAACTTCACTCCCTCTGGGGGCTGCTGCGTCGGCTTGCTAGACTGGGTCCCTGTCATGGGTGGATGAGCAATCATTAAACCTTGCTTTTGCAGTTTAGTGGGTCTGTCTTCCTGGTGGTCTCTGGGGTCTTTCAACTTGGGCACAACAGTAGGTATAAGGGAGAGCGTAGCCAGAAGCAGAGATGTCTGAAAGCGTCCAGAGTGGAGACCACCAAGCGGAACAGGGCCATGTGGGGAGACGGGGAGAGCGGGGAACCAGGTGCAGCAGCCAGGAGGACAGACAGCCAAGAAAAGGAAAGGCTGGGTTATGTAGGGAAGAACCTCTGGGAGAAAGGCAGCCCAGCCTCTGGGTTGGAGAATTCAGGGTAGACCTTGTAACAGGTAGGGACTGAGGGATGCTGGGAGACCGGCAGCCAAGTCTGCTTTGCTATGTTAAATAGGCACCTCAGCCATTTGTCCCAAGTCTGAAATTTAACAAAAGTGTTTTGCTGCCCAGTAAGAATGGTTTAGGAATCTTGTGGCAGCCGGCGTGGTGCATGCCTTTAATCCCAGCAATCAGGAGGCAGAGGCAGGCAGATCTCCGTGAGTTCAAGGCTAGTCTGGTCTACAAAGTGAGTTCCAGGACAGGCTCCAAAGCAATACAGACAAACCCTGTCTCAAAAAAAAAAAAAGAAAGAAAAAAGAAAAAGAAAGAAAGAAAGCTTGTGGCCACACACTGGTCAGAAGTTTCCTGAAAGCCCCAGCCCCAACACACAGGCCTCCTACTTGCAAGTGCTCTACCTCAGAGCTGTTCTTCCCTCAGCCCTTTCGTGAAATTTTTAAGATTTATTTTTATTTTACATCAATTGATGTTTTGCCTGCAAGTATGTCTATGTGAGGTGTCAGAAGCCCTGGAACTGGAGCTGTAGACAGTTGTGAGCCACCATGTGGTTACTGGGAATTGAACCCAGGTTCTCTGGAAGAGCAGCCAGGGCTCTTAACCACTGAGCCACTGCTCCAGCTCTTGAATTTTGAGGGGGGGGGCAGGTGGTAGGTGGCCTGATCTCCTTAAGCTACTAGTGACACCAAACACAGATGACACCTGAAAAGGAGTTAAGACTATTCTTGGCCCAGGAAGGTGGGTGAGTTAGCGGCCCTTGCCGCTGAGCCTGAGTTTGGACCCCAGAAACCGTATGATGGAAGGAAGACCAACTCCAGCAAGTTGTTCATCTCCGCAGGGACTCCGGCCAGCTTGAGCATGGTGAGCATGGCTCCGGCAAGCCTTGTCCTTCTCTCCCATTCCCTCTGCTCTCTGAAGCCAGGAGATTACATTCCAAAGCTAGCCTAAAGGCCTTTGCCTTATTGGACCACTTCCTCCTCCTGGGGATGACCACCAAGGTCCAGCTATCACAGGACATCTAGCAGTCCAAAGTCCCCTTTGGCTCACCTAATTAACGTGCCCAATTAAACAGCATCCTAACACAGGGCTTTCCCCTTGTACCTTTATAACTGCCATTTTCCCACCTGCCACATGTCTCCTCTACACAGAGGCAGTCCTTTGTCCCTCAGAGACAAACACTCCTTGTTCTCTTCTCCTCTCCCTCTATTCCCTGTCTTTGTCTCTTATAACCTGCCCTCTGTCCCTCTGGGGCAAATAAATGTCCTTTATGCTGAGAATTTGGTTTTGAAGGTCCTGAGCCAATTACTTTTCCTTTCAGTCTCCACTTGTGGGCTGTGGACTGTGCATGTTCACACACATATCACACACACACACACACACACACACACACACACACACACACACACGTTTTTTACAGAACCCAGGACCACTAACCTAGGGATGGCACCACCCACAATGGGCTGGACCATTTCACATCAATCATTAATTAAGAAAATGCCCGACAGCCAGATCTTGTTTTAGTTTGGTTTTGGCTTTTTGAGACAGGGCTTCTCTTGTGTAATAGCCCTGGATGGCCTGGAACTCACAGAGATCACCTGCCTCTACCTCCCCAGTGCTGCCACTCGGTGCTACATTCAGATTTTCTCAATTGAGGTTCCCTCCTTTCAGATAACTCTGGCTTGTATCAAGTTAGTATTAACTAGCCAGCACAGTATGGGCGTTTGGACTGCACGTATGTCTGTGTACAGTTGTAGTGACCAGCCTCCCGATTAGCAGCCATGACAGGCTACCACGTGCTTGCATGACCTTGTGGCTCCTGTCCTGGTCACCAGGAGCCCTCCTCGTGGCAAGGAACCAATCAGAAGTTAGCTGGCTGGGCTGTGCTTTACGGCTCTGGTTTTGCTTTACGGACAAGTGCACAACAGTGACGTGCAGAGCATAGCAACCACGGGGGGGGTGGCTATGGGCCATAACAACCAATAGACCAATCAACACAGGGTAGGTCATCCAAACCTGGAAACACACAAGTCCTGAGACTGTTTCATACCCCTAGACACTCCCCTTTGTGTACCTCTCAAGGTCAGAAGAGGGCACTGGATCCCTTACAACTGGAGTTTCAGCTGCTTGTGAGCTGTCACATAGGTGCTAGGAATCAAAGGAATCAAATTCCATCCAAAAACAAAATCACAGATGAAGGCTCTTTTCAAGTCTGTCACACTTTGGATAAACACATGCTGCATAGGCGTGTACATTTGAACATTGGTGTCTAGTGGGTAATGCTGTTTTGGGAGGGTTGGGAGGTTTGGTTCAATCTTGTTGTGGGGAGTATGCACTGGAGGAGGGCTTTGAGAGCTTAGAAATTCCTGCCATGTCATTTGTCCTCTCTGCTTTGTGCTTGCAGTTTAAGAGGAGAGCTCTTAGCAGAAGGGACCAGACCCTCACCCAGTCCCCGAATTAGCAGCCATGACAGGCTGCAGAAAAGACCCAGAAAGACAAAAAGCCCCTGACTCAGCACTTGTTGCTCAGTTTCCAGTCTTCTGACCTTGCAGGAGCTGCCCTAGTCACTAGGAGGTCAGACACCCTCCATGTGGCAAGGAACCAATCAGAAGTTAGATGGTGGGCTCCGGGCAGGCTTTATGGTGCTTTACGGTAAAAGTGGCTTAACAGTGACTTGCAGACCATAGCAACCACCCTGGGAGGGCCTATGGGCCATAACAACCAGTTGACCAATCAACACAGGACAGGTCCAAGCTGGAAGCATCCCGATCCTGAGACTGGTGTACTCCTAGACACTCCAATAAATTCCCCACCCCATGGTTTCTTTGGGTCCTCCTCCCGCTCTGTCTCTGTTTTGCTTTTCGAGGCAGGGTTTCTCTGTATTGTTTTTGGAGGCTGTCCTGAAACTTGCTCAAGCTCACAGAGACCCGCCTGCCTCTGCCTCCCTAGTGCTGGGATTAAAGGCGGTGCGCCACCAACACCCGGCTATCAGTTGGTTTTTTGAGACAAGGTCTTATGTAGCCTGGGCTGGCCTTGACCTTCCTATGACCTTGAATT